CTGTGGGCTTGGATAGTTAGTTGTCCCTTGTATTTTGTCAACAAATTAAAAGATTTCGATTGTTGTGTTTCTAATGTTAGTTTTGGTGTGAAAAACAAAGCATGTACTGGTTGAAGAAACAATTAAATGTGCATTGGAATGTTATCAGAATGACATAATTCCTAGATCCTCTTTAGATGTTTCTGTCATCAAATAATTATTTCATTTTTCAGCAACTCATTCGGAGTTAATTTCGACCAAATCCAGGTCTAAATAAGGTAATTCGAATTTCACCTATTTTATCCAATACATTTATGATCAAAATGAAAGAAATCAATGTTGCTCAGTCTCGCGAGAAAAGATCAATGTTGCCCAGTCTCGAGAGAAAAGTAAGCGGCGCTGTCTTTCAAAACTGTTCTTTTATAGATTACTCTCAAAATGTGGGTGTGTTTTTAATTGAACAAGAGTGGGGATAGAATTATTCTAAAATTGTAATAATGTGGATTTTTCATTAACCCAGCCAATCAACGAAACCATCCCTACAACCTTTTACCGTGTGTTGAAGACAGTATTACAAAAACAAAAAACAAATAAACTACTTCAGATTAAAACAGCCCCCCCCCCGAAAAAAAACCACAACCCACCGCTTTCAAAAAATTAAAGTGACTTTTGAGAAAAATAAACCCAGTTCCTCATATTATAAACGGACTTGGCAACAGGGGAAGAAATTATTTTTCCACTGCATATATTGTGCAGTTTTCTAGATTCATTATGTGGATAATATTTCCATGGAGTTTAAGAATTCAAATTGTATTGACAGTTTTCTTTTAAATTTGAATCTAATTCCTTATAACCATAATTTCACAGTCGAAACTGAAGTTCTTGGTAAGATTTAATTTTTAAAGTTATACTGAAAAAAAATGTTTTTCACACATCTGTTTTCTGTATGGATACACACACTCGTGAGTTTACATTAATTGGAATTCCTTCCACGATCCGGAATAAACATTAAGGACCATGAAAACTCTTTTTCCATACAGTTAAAGCAAGTTAAAGCAAGGTTTGTCAGACGACATTGCATGCTTTACAGTTTTTAACAACAATTCTGCTCTACCATTTTACTTTACACAGAATAAAAGTTTTATTTGACAAAACGACAGTTATTTTTGCTACTTAAAAATCGATCTAATTTTAGTAACTTATTTGTGTGTGTTTTTTTTACATTTACTTTGATCTAAAAGTCATTTCCTTTTTTTTACATTTACTTTGATCTAAAAGTCATTTCCTTTTTTGCATTTACTTTGATCTAAAAGTAATTTCCTTTTTTTTTAACATTTACTTTGATCTAAAAGTCATTTCCTTTTTTTTACATTTACTTTGATCTAAAAGTCATTTCCTTTTTTTACATTTACTTTGATCTAAAAATCATTTCCTTTTTCTTACATTTACTTTGATCTAGAAGTCATTTTCTTAACTATTGTAAACAACACTATTTCAATTACTGACAGTATGAAAAGGAAGTAAAAACTAAATGCTATTTTTATTTGATGTTCCACATGGTTTGTAAAACTTATTATTTATTATTCATGATCCTAATTCTCTCATTTGTCTACTCCTCGTTTTGGGCGTAAGATCGTTTCTTTTTCACGTAGGCATGGTTTGGACAAAGACAACAGCAGTTGCGGCGAACACGGAGAAACGTTGTGAGGCATTCAAGACTGCGAAAATCATGTTTAATTACACGTTGTTCCAGAGCCTGGTGCCATCAAGAATAAGGAATTATAAAGATATATAAGTGTAGACTGTGAAATGCACACATCAACTCTTTGGGTACAGGCACTCGCTATACCCACAGTCTGTAAACCTTGTGTTATAATATCACGACTAACAGTTTTCTGGGCCTTTTAATATAACGATACAATTTACGTCTTTGTTTTTTTGAATGAACCGCAAAACTTAAAATAATTGGAGATTTTAAAATAGGTTTTTCATTCTATACTGGCCCTCTAACTGCATATGCAAATGTTCCCGGAAACTGTTTAAGTGGTTGCAACTTATATAATCATCCCTAATAAACTTACATTTCATATCAGGCTGATCAGTGGCTGCTGTGTTTGTGGATTAATTTTCGGAATCTATCATTCATATATGAGTGTGTGTGTTTAGATTTCTTACAAATTAGTAGTTTGCTTGTATAGATTTATGCGTAATGTAAAAAATAAACATTTTGGTGTAATACTAAGTAATATATTTTGATTATAATGAGAAGAGAAAGAACAATTTTTGTTGAACAATCTTGTTTTACGACTAAATGACTTAACGTATAACGGTTTGAATTAGGGTTTATACATTAGAAACTGAACCATATTCCCAATTCTTGAAACCCTAATGATTGTGATTGGTCATCGATAGGGTGTTATTTTGGTAATTTTGTAAGTCTAAAGCTTCTTGAAAAGTTGTTCTTCATTATTTTCAGTTTTAACACCATTTTTCACCCTGTCTACTTCTCTGTTAACATTTTAATAACTTTGCTTTAGTTGGAACATTCTTAGCTTCTTATCACGTACCAAGTAACACAAGATTAAATTTGTTGTAACAGCCTTAAATCTGCTTTTTATCCTCTTTAAATTGTCTCTCATTTTGGACATACTTAACAGCTGACTTTTTTAACAGTGTCATATTTGCTTGAATTTTCTTAAAGTTTTCTATCACATTGCAACTTTTAAGATTAGATTTCTTAATAGTGTTATACTTAATTTAGTTTCTTTTATTTGGGTTTTGTATTAACTTGTAATATTTAACGTTTTCAACAGTGTTATATACTTACTTAATTATATTGTTAAGCTGTTTATTATTTATTAACTTGTAATATTTAACGTTTTCAACAGTGTTATATGCTTACTTAAGTTATATTGTTAAGCTGTTTATTATTTATTAATTTGTAATATTTAACGTTTTCAACAGTGTTATATGCTTACTTAAGTTTTATTGTTAAGCTGTCTATTATTTATGAATTTGTAATATTTACCGTTTTCAACAGTTTTATATACTTACTTAAGTTTCATTGTTAAGCTGTCTATTATTTATTAATTTGTAATATTTAACCCCCAGTGTTATATACTTACTTAAGTTTATTAAGCTGTCTATTATTTATTAACTTGTAATATTTAACGTTTCAACAGTTTTATATGCTTACTTAAGTTTTATTGTTAAGCTGTCTATTATTTATTAATTTGTAATATTTAACGCTTTCAACAGTGTTATATACTTACTTAAGTTATATTGTTAAGCTGTCTATTATTTATTAATTTGTAATATTTAACGCTTTCAACAGTTTTATATGCTTACTTAAGTTTTATTGTTAAGCTGTTTATTATTTATAACTGACTGTTTATAATCGGATTTCAAAGTGTTGTATTTTGTTTTGCTTGTTTTTGTTTTAAATTTGCTATCACTTTGTAATATTTAACATCACGTGTGTTCAAATGCTGTTACTTTCCCGTTTCTGAACTATTTCTTCTGTTGTAATAGAATAACAAATATCACGTTTATTCGTCTTTTTTAACAACTTGAGTTACTTGTTAAAATATAGATTTAACAATGTTTCGAGATATGTATTTTTCTTTCAAAAGTTGATAAATGTATTTAATTGTTGCGTCAGCTTTCAATTACTCACTGTCTACACACATATTATTATTCCGTCACGTTGTCACCCTCTTTTATATACCAGTCTACCCTATATCTAGTAAATGCTAGAGCATTCGCCAAGGTACAGGATAGTTCTAGAAACGTGGCGTGACACTAGTCATGTGACTTCCTGCAGTCAGAAGTATT